CCCTTCAACAGATGAATGGATAAAGAAGATGTGGTCCATATATACAATGGAATATTACTCAGCCATCAGAAAGGATGAATACCTAACTTTTACATCAACATGGAATGGACTGGAGGAGATTATGCTAAGTTAAATAAGTCAAACAGAGAAAGTCAATTATATGTTTTCACTTATTTGTGGAACATAAGGAATAGCATGGAGGACATTAGGAGAAGAAAGGGAAAAATGAAAGGGGGAAATTGGAGGGAGAGATGAACCATGAGAGACTGTGGACTCTGAGAAACAAACAGGGTTTTAGAGGGGAGGGGGGAGGGGGAATTGGTTAGCCTGGTGATGGGTATTAAGAAGGGCACGTACTGCATGGAGCAATGGATGTTATACGAAAACAATGGATCGTGGATCACCACATCAAAAACGAATGACGTATTGTATGGTGACTAACATAACATAATAAAATTTAAAAAAAAAGAAGATAGTAGGAAGGGGAAAATGAAGGGGGGGAATCGGATGGGGAGATGAACCATGAGAGACTATGGACTCTGAGAAACAAACTGAGGGTTCTAGAGGAGAGGGGGGTGGGGGGATGTCTAGCCTAGTGATGGGTATTAAAGCGTGCACGTATTGCATGGAGCACTGGGTGTTATATGCAAACAATGAATCATGGAACACTACATCAAAAACTAATGATGTAATGAATGGTACCTACATAACATAATAAAATAAAACTAAAAAAAAATGTCATGGTGCCCATAGTAATGATGCAGTGGTAACACAAAATTTGTTTGTTAAAGACCATTTCTTCCATTTTCTAAAATGGATGTGGAAGGCAATGCTCACTCTTTCACTTCACATTGCTCCTAAAGGATTCATGCATTGAAGTCTTTTTCATTTTAAGGTGGGAAAAACATATTTGAAAATTTGGTGTGCTTCATTTTCTCAGTTAATAAAAAGTATGTACTCCACTACATCTTTCCCCCTACCTTTGAACATAAAACTTTGCCCTATGCTTCGTGCTAGATAATCACAGGCGTTTTTTCTTCTGCTTTCATTTCCTTAGTGCTTTTGGTCTTCTCTTTTTATTTCATTGCCTAACTGTCCTTGCATATTTTATTTTAGGTCTCCTCAAATAGATTTGGGAAACAGGCAGTATAAATAAATGAGAAATAGTTTGTGCGTTAGAGCTTGTTTTTTTTTCTGCCCCAGAGCTTGATAGTTTAGTAAGGTCTACCTCAAAGTTGATATGAAAAATGGGAGAAGATATTAGCAAATCTCACTCTGTGATATAAATGCAAAACATTCAGAATTCAAACACACTGAAATGCCAGAACATAAGATGAAACTTTCATTCCCAAAATTATGCTTCATAAAGCAGAGGTTCCCTTATGTTTCAGTTTGGGCAGTCTCTCATTTTAAAAGATGCTCTTCTAATACTCTGCTTTGACTGAACAATACACTTGGACAAGATATCAACCTGAAATAAACTCAATTAAAGCCAGTTTAGAGGTAGTACCAGTAAAAAAAAATAAATAAAGAAGTTTAATATGGATTTGGTAAATATTACCTGGGACTACATTGTACATATACAGAATAACAGAATAAATGAAAAAAAAAATTTATTTTGTAAGTGGGTAAATGTCTGTTCCAATAAAATATCCAAAGACATCATCATAAAAGCATCCCCAAACAGACACTCAGACCCTAAGATGACTCAGAAATTTGCTCTAAAGTATACATTTTAGATGCATGTGAAGAATATGAACAAAATTTTTAATAAAATAAGAGGTTAAAAAAGCAGTATTTCTCAAATGATATTTGTGATAATATAATTTTTAATTTGTAGGTATAATCCAATGAAGATATAAACTATTAAAAGTGAATATCTGAGGGGCACCTGAGTGGCTCAGTCTGTTGAGCATCTGACTTTGGCTCAGGTCATGATCCCAGCGTCCTGGATGGAGCCCAACACATTGGGCTCGCTGCTCAGCTGGGAGTCCTCTTCTCTTTCTCTGTCTGCCTCTCCCCCCAGCTCCTGTGCTCTCGCTCTCTTGCTCTCTCTTGCATGCATGCTCTCTCTCTCTCAAATAAATAAAAAATAAAACATTTTATTAAAAAAGTGAATATTTGACTTTTTATGTATATTAGTATAATTTTATATATTCAATTATAACACATCTCCCTTGTTTACATCCAGAAGTTTCCACTGAAAATGGAGAAATGAACTTATGTTGAGGCTAACAATATATGAGGTAATGCTTACTACATTCTACTCATTTTTAGAAACGTAACAATGAGTCTTAGAAATTGAAAGTATTCTGCAAATACTGACCAATTGTTCTAGTTACCTGTAGACTAGAACATAATTAATACATTTTTCTGTACTCCTGATTTAAAAAGAACTCTACTGGGTGATAATTGGAATTTGTAGAACTGACTTTTTTAATGACTGACCGTGTCCCAACCTATGCGGTAGCTATTTCCATATTTAATTTCATTTAGTTCCACAGCATCCACTTGAAATGGTTGTTGCATTGACAAATGAATGGATGGAAATATAGCAAATATTAACAGAATAAGTGTCATTATAAATTTTTAATTTTTTTCCCAATTTTTCCCTAATGGGCATGTATTATTTTTATACTGCTAAGAAAGCAATAATCAGGGAATCAAAATTTATTTGCTGAAGGATGATTATACAGAAAGTGAACGATCCAGAATCACAGTCCACATTTTTCTCTGCACCACACTCTCCTAAAAAAAGAAATTTCAAGACCTCGAGAATTACATCTGTGTCCCCATTATTTAATTAGATTGCTAGAATTTATATTGCAGTCAGTTGGAAAAAAAATGGAACTAGAAATTTGCTTTTCAATTTATAAATTTGTGCATGCCTATAATCACAACCAGAAGGACACTAAAATATATCACTCCTTTCACTTTTCCAATATTTCCCCAGCCTTGTGAAAATTCTTTGAAAACATTTATTTGACTAGATATTGTAGGGTAGAAACATCCCTGTCAGAGCTCCCTCATCCAGGCAAAATTTCATCTCTAAAGCTAATGAAGAATAAACAGATTTACTAGGCTATATTTGGAAAACACAAACCCAGCTTATGACCTTCTTGGATAAGCTTGTGCAGTTAAATATGTTGATACCTGATACGAATCGCCTTCAGACAAAAAGGTAAGTTTATCAATTTTTTCTTCATTCTTTTCCATTGGTTATTTTTGGAATCAAATAAATAAAATACACAAATTTCTATACAAATTTTTCAACACAGACATCCCTAAGGGGCCTAACAGCTCCACCATGTAGGGAATCCCAGTTTATCTAGCTAGTTAGCTCCTTGTTAATCTCCTCCATTCTAGCTCAGGCAGCAACTACCCCCTAGGACTGGGACAGAGTCAGTTACCTCTTCAAGGATCCCGCTGCTATTTATGACCAAACTGGGACCAATCCTAGAATTCTGAGCCAGCACCAGCACCTAGCCTGCCCCCGCTGCATTACTGCTTCCCCTCCCTACTTATAGGGAAGAATTAAAAAAAAAAAATTTTACCTGTAACCCTGAGAATTGTGCCAGGACCAAACATTTTGCTGCTCTTCCAAGTATTCCAGGTACACTGTCTGAAAAGCTTTTACAGAAATCTCCGTGTGCCTCTTTTAAAATGTGTCCATACTTTTTTCAATATATAAATATATATAAATAGACACTGCTAACATTAAACAAAGATAACTCTCAAGCAAAATCACATTACATATGAACGTAGTCAAGAATGGATGAACTGATCCCTCTCTGCCTGGACAACTTGGGTCTCTTTCCTATCTCACACGCATTGGAGAGTCTGATTTTGCCTTTTCTCACCATGTTCCTGAAACTTCTAATCTTTTTTCTTAAAAGGTTTTCATGTGTCATATCAGTTCTTTTCCTAGAGTGTAATTTACAGTTACTACTTCTGTGACTTTAACAGAGGAACAAAAATAGACATAATATATTTTAATATTTAATAGATGAATGTTCAATATTTTATAGTTTTTTTTAATCTCTGCACATTGAAGGGCAGACATCTGGTTTGATTTTAACATAAGTTCTTTCCAGATTTCAGTCCTCACTGATACTAGAACAGATGAGTTGTTACAGAGTGTGAAATATTAATGATGATCCCATTTATTCCTGAAAGATTGTTCCTTTGAACTTGAAATTACCCTACCAAGTTCCAGGATATGGACTTACAACTCGGAGCTGCCCTGTTTTGGAGGATCCTGTTTGGTTTGATCTCTCTGCAGCTGTCCAGCAGGAGTGCAAAGGCAGCTCTGAGTTCTGCAGCCGAGTCCTGCATGTAGTACAACTGCTCCCTTTCTTCTGCCAGCTTCCATATTTCCAGCAAATTTGATGCCAATACAGAAAGATTGAATTGAATGGTAACAAAAGGACTTGCAGTTTATAGAAATACCCTAAGAATCACATTGTGAGAATTTAATAAGTGAATATTCAACATATCATTCAACATAATAAATAAATGACTTACTTGAAGTCTTGGGGGGAAGAGAGGCAATTTTAGTGCCATGATTAGAAGCAGAAGCATTGTTTTCTGCATGAGGAGTCATACAAATTATGAGCTATTACTATTAAACATTCAACTACATAGTCTATTTAAAAGGTCAGACTACAAAGGACTGTATATTCAGAATAAAAGCATGGCTTAATGTTTCTAATAGCATATAATGGTATAGACCATGCATTATGGAACAAACAAGGAAGTATTTGGTCCCAAACTTTGGCATAGTAACTAGCCACGTGAATGTAAGCAAATAACTGAACTCTCTAAGCCTCAGTTTCCCCATCAGTGAAATTGGAATAAGAAAATTTCCTGTATAGTACTCTTAAGGATTGAGATAAAGCACAGAAACCTGGCAGTATGATATCTGACTCTCAATAAATATTAGCTAATAGTATTATTGTCTTTAATCAGATGGTTTGGGGGCTCTTTATCAAATTTTCCACTAAACAAATACATAGATTTTATAAGCAATAAGTATTTATTATATAAATTAGAGAAAGCAAAAGAGCTCATGAGTCCGACATTCTATGTGTCTGGCAACCGCAGGCCAAAATACATGAGGTTCAATCAAGCCGCAATCTAGAATACTTATCCACTAGGCTACAAGCTTTTTGAGTGTTGGGACTGTGTCTTGTGTACCCTTTTACCTCTAGCTTCCATCATAGAAACTGTCTTCAATAAATGAAAAAACAAGGATGTAAAACCATGCTGACAGCTTCTTTTCATGGATTCTGGAACTGAAAGAGTTTACTGAGCTCACAAATTCCATTACACTGGACCATCTCTAGGCAATATCACAAGAGCCGCAATAGCTCAATTTTTAACTAAATTGAGCCTACTCACCAATAAATTAGAGTAATAATAATGTGTTTATTTATTGATGTTCTATAGTCATCTACTGTAAGAGTTAAATTTTTTGCACTGCTCTTAAAGATGAAATCAAAAGCAATCATACAGTTTTTGTGGGTTATTACAGAAAGGAACACTATTCATTAAGAAAGGAGCACCATTAATACTACAGGTACTTAATCAAAGTGTTTCTCACTTAAAAGGCCACCTACATGAATATCATCTTGAACCAATAACTTACACAAATATATCACAGACAAGGTCACAGAAATATTTTAATTTCAGGCCTGCATCTATACTTTTATGTACATATTTTCTAAAAGTAGAATTTCAATCTGCTTGCAAGCAGGGAAGTAAATAAACCATTTACAAAGTAGTTTTGTTTCATATATAGCGACCAGTAGCTGCAAAATTGTGTCCAAATGCTAAGTTGATTCTACATTGTTTTTTCTAAAAAGCATCTCTCAGTATTTTTTCCACAGGATATAAAAAGAGCAAAGTTACTTACCAGGAGGAGTTACTATGAACTTAGTTCCTTCTACAAATATCTTGATCCAGCCTGGTTAGAAGTTATCACACTGGCTAGAGCTTCTACAAAAATGTAAGCCTTCTCCTGAGGCTCACGTCAGGGCCAGCAGGTAAAAACTTTGTACTGGCAATTTGATCTTTTGAGATCATTAAAAATGCTTGAATATAGGCTTCATGGCATCTGATATTTTATGTTCCTCAGATTAATTGATCTAAATGTCTGTTTTGATGGAGGCAGCAATCATGGAAAACTGCGGATAGAAAATGGATATGATGAGAGCAAAGAAAAATAAACAGAAAGAGAGAGAGGAAAGGAGGGAGCAAAGGAAGGAAGGAAGGAAAAAAGAAAGAAAGGTGGAAGGAGAGAAGGAAGAAAGGAAGGAATAGAGAGGCAAGGGATAGAGAGGAAAGGGGGGGAGGGAGAGAGAGAAAGAAAGAAAGGAAGAAAGAAAGAAAGAAAGTGAAAGAAAAAACAAAAGAAAGAAAAAGATCAGGACTAACTGGTCATCCAATGACTTTTCTAAATTACCAGAAACAGTGTTCAGAGAATTAAGAGACTTTGATTTCCAGGTGCTCAAGTGTGTGAAACTGCTCAGAGATGCATCAAAGGAAACCTCTTCTGTTCTCACAAACACCAGGCCTACTGTGTCAGCAGTTTAGGATTGTATTTCTGAAGACGATATGCTTCACTAACTGAAAAGGCAAACATGCCAATAGAAATATACTTGAGAAATGTGAACAATCGTCTCCACTTTTTAGTAAGCCACTTTTGCCATTTGACAACACAAATTTTTTTCAGGGAAAGCAAAATGAGAAAATACTTTCTGTGATGACTATATTTTCCTGGAATAAAAGAAGAAATTTGAGGAATTCTATCTCCCACAGAAAAATAGATTCCTTATTAAAACTCAACTTGGGATTGCTTGCAAATACCAGGGGTTTTCTGTATTTTTAAAAATACTTCCCAGCGTCATATTTATTCCTTCTCTTTTGTAACTGCTGTCTTTACAACAGGAAAACATCTGCATTTCTACTTTACATCTGTCTCTTTTAAAATAAACTGTGCAAATGGACTTTGCCATCACAAAAAAATAAATAAATAAAAAATAAAACTCAACTTGGAAAACAAACACAGTTCTCTGATATGTTGAAAGAAGAAGCCTCTTGGAAGCTATTCTGTGATCTTTGGAAAAACAGCTGTAGCCCTGCCTCTATGGATAACTAGCTTTGGACAAGGCATTTGCCATCCCTGGACGCCCACATCCCATTTGATGTGTGGGCATTGATTGGCCTACTATGTCCAAAGGGTCCTTCCTGTTCCAACAGCTTATGAACCTGTGATTAAGAGCAGGAAAGGGGGAGGGAGGAGCAGGATGGCGGAGGAGTAGGAGAATTAAATTTCGTCTAGTCCCAGGAATTCAGCTAGAGCGCTATCAAACCATTCTGAACACCTACAAACTCAACAGGAGATCGAAGAAAAGAATAGCAGCAACTCTCTGAACAGAAAAGCGACCACTTTCTGGAAGGTAGGATGTGCGGAGAAGTGAATCCGAGGCGATATTCGGGAGGATACACAGAGGGGGAGGGGGCCTCCATCAGCCACTTCTGGCAAGTGCTAGAGCCACGGAGCACAAAATCGGAACTTTTAGAAGTTGGCTGCGCTGAGGGACGTCGCTCCAGTGGCTAAGCGGGGGGTGGAACCCTCACGGGGACAGTGTGGTCTCAGGACCCTCAGGTCACAGAAAGACTGGGGGTCCTGAGTGTGGCAGAGCTCCCAGGTATTGGAGCGGGGGAAGCCGGCTGCAGAGACAGAGCCGAGGCGCGGGCTCTCAGCTTGGGGTTGCCATAAACTGTGATCCGTGGCACAGCCGTGCCACTGCTCCTCCAGCAGGGACCCAAAAAGCAGCAGATCCGGGGAGACCCCCTTCCTTCCCCCCGCCGGAGCTGTGCGGGAGCACACTGCAGGGATCTGCTGGGTTTGGAGACTCCACACCAAGTAGGGTGCCAGAGATAGAAACGTTCAGTCACAGGCCTGGTGAGCACGGAGTGTGGCCAGAGACCAGGGAGACGGGAGTGACTGACTGATTTTCTCTGGGGGTGCATTGAGGAGCGGGGCCCGAGTTCTCAGCTCCTCCAGGCAGAGATTGGGAGGCCACCATTTTCACTCTCATCCTCCAAAGTAGTACCAAGAGCGTGCAGGGAATAAAAGCTCCAGAGAGCAAACCCGAGCAGATTCCTTAGCCCAGACAGACAAGGGTGGGGCAATTCCGCCTCCGGCAAAGACATTTGGGAACCATGGGAACAGGCCCCTCCCCCAGAAGATAGCAAGAACAGCCAGCCAAGACCAAGTTTACCAATCAATGAGAACAGCCAAACTCCAGTGCTAGGGGAATACTGCCCATAGAATTCATTGCTTTTTTACCATGATTCTTTAGTTTTTCAAAGTTAATTTTTTTTAATAATTTTTTTATTGTTATGTTAACCAC